GTCCGTCACACACACTGAGGCTTGGGAGACGTTGGACCTTTTCAACAGGACAATGATCCCAAGCATACCTCCAAGTCCACTAGAGCATGGTTGCAGGTTGCAACTTGGAGAAAGGCTGGAACATTTTGGAGTGGCCATCGCAGTCACCAGACTTAAATCCGATTGAGAACCTCTGGTGGGACTTAAAGAAAGCAGTTGCAGTGCGCAAGCCTAAGAATGTGACTGAACTGGAGGCCTTTTGCCCATGAAGAATGGGCGAAGATACCCGTAGATCGCTGCAAGACACTTGTGTGCAAGCTATGCTTCACGTTTAAAAAAGTTATAACTGTAAAAGGATGCTGTACTAAGTACTAAGATTGAATGTCACTTGGGGGTTGAATAAAAACTGATAATGCTGTGTGAGCACAGAAAAGACATTTGTGGTTATTTCATTATAACTGTTATGTTATATTTGTCTGACCTACAAGTGCCTCTTTAATGTAAATGTAAGCAAGATGACTGAATGATGATCAAAAGCAATGTCAAACTGGCCAAAAACACTCAATTTCAGTGGGGGTTGAATAATTTTGGTCACAACTGTACTATATGCTATTTTTTTTTCCTTTACTATCTTACTTGTCTCTTTAGTGAACCATAATGTTTTTTTCTTCTGTTTATTCTTACTAACTTGCCTGATATATGATCTAGTTGCCTACAGGATGGTACTGATTACTTACTCCTGTTGTTTTACTCCAACCTTTCAACTCATTTTTTAAAAGTTCACCCATTTAAAAAACTATTTCCTTTTTGAAATCTAAAACTTTTGTTTTTGTATATGATCTTTCAGTTCTTATTTTAATATCATACCAAAGATATTGGTTATCACTAGAATCCAAATTTTCTCCCACCTCAACAATAGACAGTCGATCCCCATTTGACATTACTAGGTCTACAAAATGATCACCTCACGTTGGACTTTTTACTAACTGTTTTAGAGAAAGCCCATTCAGTGCTTCCGTTACATCCCTGCTCCTGCTTGTAATAGCAGTTTGAGAATTCCAGTTAATGTCAGGCATGTTAAAGTCACCCATAATCACCCCCCCCCCCCCCCCATTGCCATTTGAGTTATCTCATCAATAAACAAGTTATCATAATCTTCAGTCTGTCCTGGGGGTCTGTATATTACACCAATTCTAAGGGAAGATCCCTCTCTGGTTGGAAGGCAGACCCAGAGGGTTTTGTGTATCTCATTTGTTTTTTGTCCAGTGAGGTATGGCACCAGTTAGAATCTATAACACTAAGTCTTGCACTCTTCCTGCTCCCAAGAACAGCAGTGGTGACACTGACCCTAATCACATACGGGATTAGTTAGCAGCAAGAAGAAGACTACTGCATAAGAAGTCAGAGGTGTTCTTACAAGGGGACCATGACTTAGGTTGTAGTAATGGGATTGAACATGAGATACAGACAGGAAAGAACCCTCCTATTTGTGAGAGACATTGAGCCAAACCTCCACACCTCACAGGGGTGGCCATATACTGGTTCTTGGCCATATACTGTTTCTAAGTGGTTAGTAATCTTGTCAAGGGAATCCTACACTAGGATAGCTCTGATACAACAGTCCAACAGCTAGGGAGATGCAAGGCTGAAGAAAAAAGGGCAACTCCACTAAAACTGCTTCTCTGGTAGCAATCAGGGGCTCCACCACAGTATCTGGGTCTTCTGGAGAGACTGCATGCCAAGCTTTGGCCCAGCTGCCAGTGTACTGGTTCTGCCAGTGGAGGACCTCTCATGTAGCTGCAGATCCCTTGCCCATCTCCCTCTGCCTCATCAAGTTTGGCCTCTATGAGCTACTGGTGGAGAGAAGCTGAGGAATTTATACATGCTGGGCATGTTTAGAAACCCAAAGAGTTGTGGGAATGAAGATAAAGGGGCTTGATCTGACTAAATGGTCACTCTTCTACAACACTATGATAAATGGAGTATTAGTAAACTAGCTGTCAATTGGGAAAACAACTCAATATTGTGTTAGTGATAGTGCTGTCACAGCCCAGTGAACAGTCTGCAGACTAGCTGTGCCCAAAGAAATATGCCATATGGCTGATAACAAACAGAAATTTCTAAACAAATACAGGCATACCACAATAGCACAGTTATAGCTGCAAGCTCCTTGTTAATTTTTAAATTATAGCTGGTTCACTGGAAATGGAAAATTAGTCAGTGCTGTTCTCTCTTTTGTTATGTCATGAAGGTGGCAATCATTCAATATGTTCACTGGATTGCATTGTCAGTAATGATTATGTATGACTTCCGGTCTGCTTTTCCCAGTCACAAAGGTGTTTATCATACTCTTCTTATTCATAGATTGCGGCTGCGATCTGTAGTACTGTTTATTTCCCATAAGCCTGCAATAGCTGCAACACTAGAATGAGAACTGACAAACAATTTATGGCATTCATTAAAAAACAATGGAGCGCTGTCCAACACCAGGCCCCAAAGGCCAAATTTGGAATAGCCAACAATTTTGTTTACTGACTTAAAGGTTGTTTAGTTTTTAAGGCTCTGTCAGTTAACGAAATACTGAAACTGTTGGAGGTCATGAGATCATAGCCTTTGAGGTTGGAGCAGAAGCCAACAGCACTAATATTAGCTACCAGCAGTTTAGTTCAGTTAAAGATACACGCCAGTCAAAATTGAAGAATAAACCTTGAGCTGCATACCAAGACGACAACCTACCAGCTGAATAGATGGGGTTTTCTTACAGATATTGCTTTCTTTCACCAGTCCTCCCCATTCACTTTCTTTGTAAACTGGTGATCCTGGAGCATATCTTCTGATGATACTGAAAGACATTGATTGCTGCTTATCATGCAAAGATGTTCTTCATAGCCACAGCCACATTCAAACTTGCTTTGCAGGTCTTAATGTAATTTGAGGCAGAAAGCTGAGAGAGAGAAACTTACACAGCCTAAGCTTCTGAACCACAGCCCAGACGTCTGAACCTCTATGGAGTTTTGTAAGCTTAGTCTGCAAAGGATTACATAGAACCAGGGTTGTCATCTTTCCTAAGAAAAATACGGTGACTGTGAATGTAACCTGTTGTGGATTGGACGTAAAAACATTGCAGGTCCATTACAACTAACACTCTTTAATGGTTTAAGGTATTAGTAGTGTTGCTGCCTACTGCTACATACCTAATATCACATGTACATTGAGGTATAAGGTGGGAGGACCCATGTGACCTCCAACCCCACAAGCCACCACCACGTCCTTTCAGAATGCAATACTCAGTGCCTTACTAGGCATGCCCAGACACTGGGGAGGTGCTTGATGGGTTGTGTTTGGCAGTGTGTGCAATGACATCAATTGAGTAATGGTGCACCTTGTGAGTAGGCTGTTTTATAGCATGGCAGACAGGTTTGTTTCACAGCAGTGCATGTGTTATTTACAGGTTTTATTTATGTATAGAAAGCTATATGCAAGCAGTTGTCCCCTGAACGTCCTTTGTGGTTCTATGGACTGATAATGTACCATGTCTCAAAGGGAAGATTTCCCTCACTCTTCTGGTCAGCCACCAATGGTAAGAGATGTGAAAAAGGTCAGGGGCAAGATGAACAAACATACTTTACTGAATGATCCAAATTTATCTCTCTGCAAGATGGATCTTGGGTGCTAAACCTGCTGATTGTTCAGCAGCCAGGATCTTTCCTGCACCGGCTTGTATTGGAGTGGTAAACTATTTTTACTGGTGCCAGCTGTAGGAGTAGTTTTACTTATTGAATGCATATTGAATGATAACTAAAGAAAATTATTCACAATTGGGTTTATGTGAGAATGTGAACATTTAGTGTTAATTTATTTTAGATCTGCAGACATACGGTACCTACAATTTTATTTTACTTAAAGAAACACTTGAGGTTGATTTATGAGAATGTGTAAATATGCCAGCACACCTCCACCCAAATTGGGTGTTTATGCTGGCACTGCCCATGTGCCTGACCTTTATACCCATAACATTGTTTCCCCTGATGGACTCTTAGACAAACTAAGTATAGCTAAATAACACGGTAAAACAAAATTAGACAAACAGAAAAGTCCATAAGATGAGCGCTGTGGTTACTATTGGTGGTAATACTTCAGGGCTGGTATAACAAATACAAAGCCTAAATTCAAAATATATTCCAAATTCCATAATTTATTAACTCAAAACATTATTTAAAAGAACCACCAGCTTGGAATCTAAGCAAAAATAGGCATAAACATCATAGTAGAAAACCATATCACCATGAATAGACAAACAATACTTGTCTTGTTTGTCTATTCATGGTGATATAGTTTTCTACTATGATGTTTATGCCTATCTTTGCTTGGATTCCATGCTGGTGGTTCTTTTAAATAATGTTTTGAGTTAATAAATTATGGAATTTTGAATATATTTAGAATTTAAGCTTTGTATTTGTTAGACCAGCCCCAAAGAATTGCCCCCAATAGCACCCAGTGTGCCCATCTTATGGGTTTTTCTGTTTGTCTAATTTTATTTTACCTTGTTATTTAGCTATACTTAGTTTGTCTAAGAGTCCATCAGGGGAAATAATGTTATGGGTATAAAGTTCAGGCACATGGGCAGTGACAGCATATATCAGCATCAAGCCTCAAAACCCTGCAGTTATGGGCAAAGCCCACCCCTTCCTGCCTTCTACGCATTCCTATTGGCTATTGAGGTAGCTTATAATACTGATGAGACAATAGGAAATGCATAGGGGCAAGACGTAGTGACTAGGATAGCCCAAAGCTTTGCTTGTTAGAACAGCCCATTGTTCAGCTTTAACTCCTCTCTTTTAGATCCTCTTACCTTAAGATACTGTACATGCACTATAGCTGAAGCACTCTTTTTTTATTATTCTGATGGAGTCTCTTTACATAACCATATTAGAATCAAACACTGGACCCTGCAGTTCCTTATATACCTTCTTACACTCTGTTATGTGTGGTTTTGTGAATGTTCAAGAAACACTGTGTACAGGGGCAGACTGACAACTCATGGGGCCCCCGGGCAATAGGGGATCATGGGGCCCTTGTGTCCTTGCCCAAACTCAAAAAAGCCTACGAAAAGGTACCAGGGGCATCTCATGGGGCCCCCTACTGACCCCGGGTCCTCGGGCAGTGCCCGAGTTTCCAAATGGTCAGTCCGCCCCTGACTGTGTACTATTATCATGTTGGCAGTGCAGCAAGTATCAGTCTTCAGGTGAACTCTCCCTCTTAATCCCTTTTAGTAAATAAGAACGAATAAGAGGGATATATATTTTTCATAGATATGCTTGAACATGCATGAATTTAAAACTGAACATTCAAATTGTTTCATAAGTTCAATTATGATGAGTATTATGAGATAAATTGTGTCAAATATCTGACCTTAGCACAGCTGCCAAGTTTACTGGTAACTTGGTGGATGCTTGGGAAGCATACGGGGAGCACAGCCAGTTAGGTTTATCATTCAGTCAATCCTAGGAAGAATACCACAACATTCTCTCTCTTTTTTCTCTCTCTCTCTTTCTCTCTCTCTCTCTTCCGCTCTCTCTCCCTCCCTCCCTCTCTCTCTTTCCCTCTCTTTCTCTCTCTCTCTTTCTCTCTCTCTCTCTCTCTCTCTCTCTCTCTCTCTCTATATATATATATATATATATATATATATATATATATATATATAAATATAAAACACCACTATGAAGCTGTTTCCTAAAGCCACAAATCAGATGCAAACTTGAATGTTTAGATGTGATTGATAAAAGAAGAACCAGAAAGGGATAACAACAGAGCAAGCAACCTCCTCCATAGACATTGTAAAATGAATGACCATTATTGCACAAGAAGCCTGTTACTGGCAGGATCACTAGTGAAAATAAAGGGAAAAAACCCTGAAAAAAGAAACTAATGCAGCCCCTTCATCTAATGACTGGTAAACTGCAATATATTATGTTTTTACTCTTGGGTTTAAGTAGTTTAAGGTAAACCAAGTTTAAGGTAAACCAAGTGATTTCTTTAGCCTTAGCACAGTCATTGACTTACTGGATGGCATTAGTATCTCACTTAATGATTTCACTTATTGACTGCAAATGCTCTTCAGGTTAAATAAATATGTTTTCTGACTGTGACTGTATACCAGTGATGCTCAACCAGTAGTACTAAGCTCAGCAAGTACTAATCTTTGAACAAATGTCTGTCTGAACACCTGCTACATTGTGCACTTCCCATACGCTTTTAGTAAAAGCTTATCTAAGTATGCTGAAACAGGTTGAGAACCCCTGGTGTACTCTGCTCTCCCATCTGTGTGAGTCAGGAACCCAGCTGGAGTATAGTGATCAGCACACATGGACACATAAAAAGGGAAAAAGTATAAGCAATACATACAATCTACTAGATCAAGGTTTTAATTTCTGTTTTTTTTTTTTTTAAATTAGGAACTGACAGATGTGTCGAATATAAGTTTTTAAATCCTACAAATACATTTTAGTGCATCAGCTTTATAATACTGCTTCAACACGAATTACACCCAATTTTTTTTAAATGTTTGGCTGAATTGTGTACTTATGTATCAATGTAACTGAGTTATTATTTCTAATTACATATTTGTTCTGCTATGATAAGATTTCTAATACCCCGCCTACAATATGCTGCTTAAAAAAGCAGCTGATGACTAATAATACTGTTAAATCCCAGTGTATCCTCATTAATCACATATAAGTTTATACAAAAGTTTTATTTTAAACCCTTTAAAATCAACGTGATTATAAATATTAAGACTTCAAAAAAAAAAAAAAAAAAACACAGTCTGAGACTTACTAAATACTTAGTAAATCAAATCTGCAGTGGTTAGTCTACATGTAAGCAGCAAATATTTTTGCACAAAAAAAAAAAAACTTTTTCTGGACAGCAATAACCTGGAATATGTTAAATGGATCAAGCATTTTTAAATGCTTTGATCAAAACATCTGATTCTGGCAAAGCTGTATTTAATTCTGGCAAAGCCACCATATCAAATGGAATGAAGTTGCTTGATCTCTGCATTCGGAAGAGCATTGTGCTGTATTACATTTCTTTAATAAAATCAAAATGACTTTATCAGGGAATGGAGCTATGTCTATAGAATGTAAAGGAGGCAAGCACTAAGGGTTATCATTGTCCAGAGAAAACACATGAAATATCAGTTACATTAAATATCCCTGTATATGGAAAAGACAGGCAAAGAGTGAATGTCAAACCCTCCTAAGCATTCAGTAGTCATTGCTAAAATGTCACTCCTGCCTCTTCTGACAGCAATTGATGAATATTTCTGAGCTTCTGAGTAATATAAATTGAGATAAATGCATGGACGTCAGAGTCACGTTATAAATAATATACAGGATATAAGGTTATAAATTCTTCTTAAAAATTGCTCAATCCACATCATCCCTTGACAGCTCAGTATCCCCTTTGGCACAAATGAATAATTTTCTGATCATCACAATAAAATGACATTCAAATAGTTGTAATATATGAAACAAATCCTAGCTTGCCTTGTTCTGTCTAGATATAAAAAGTGATATAAGAAATGCATCTCAGAGGCTGCCTATTCTGGTCTCTTCAGACAGACTGTGTTTTCCAAGGGCTCCTGGCTTCCCTTAGGGATCTGTCATAGGGTAAACCTGCAAAGAAGGAATTTCTCAGCTGACAGTTAATGAAAAGGACAATCAGAGTCACTGTCAGGAATAAGAGGACAAAGAGGACAATGTAAGTCATTAGGTCAGGTTTGTTTATCTCTCCTTCCTTGAGCACCCTGGCCGTGGACATGTAGAAGGCTGAGGAGCTGACAGGTCTCTGGGTACTGCTCAGGTAAGGAGTGTTGGTCTGTAGCATGATCTGGGCTTCTGTAGCACTGCTGGAGTTGAGCAGCATCACTCCATACATGATCATGATGGGTTTTTGTTTTCTTCTCACAGCCCTTTAATACACAAGAGACTCCAAGAAGTCACATTTTTTTATCCAAAGAGTCTTGTCAGTTTTAGAATCCAGAAAACACAATTCATCCAGACTAGGGCAGCAGTCATGCGATGCACACAAATCCATTACTGACACTGCCTTTAATTTTAGATATTGCAAAGAAATCTGTTACTCCAAAATCGTAGGTGGATCTGTCTTTTGCTTAAAAACTCTTCCAAACTGCTGTTCCCTCATCTCCAACGGCAACATGCACATCAGTAGAAAAATCCTGGCACAAAGCAGTCATATAATCCTCCTCTGTCTCTCAGTTTGAATGAGAAGGCAGGTATTTGTACTCACAGCAGTCACACAACAGTTTAACTGCTAATTATAACAAAGGCAGACAACAGGAGGTCACATCCATGGTCTTCACATCTTTGGAGCATGTTAGATCCATGTCACCGGATAAAACTGGAACATATTTTAGTGTGATTCTTCAATAATACTTGTAGTCTTGACAGCATCAAATAAATGTAGATATCCTTTTAGGAGAAATCACGTCCCCCTTAAATCCTTGTAACCTGTTTGTGCTGTTGAACTAAAATCTGATCTGCCTTTTTAATACACTCCAAAGTTCCTTTCGCCTCGGAGTCCTGGTGGTTTCCAACGCGGCTTTCCAGCACGCAGCCAGTCTGAGCTGAGCCTGTACATACACTGAACATGTGACCAGATTTGCTCAAACTCCAGCCGAGCCTCATTTGATGCAGCAGGGGAGCTTTTTACACCGTGATGCTGAATCTTCCTGGACTCTGTGATATCTCACAGCTTCCTGTTATTAAAATTAAATCATTGTGGCCGTTTAATCATCCTGAGTGTATAATGCTGAGCTGCAGACAAGTCCTTTCTTTCCCTTTTAGATCCACATCTCATATTTGTTATTAGAGCTCCAAGCAGGTATTCATTGGCTGTAAATTCTCCAGCAACATCTACAGCCTGGCAAATAGCACGTTAATTCTATTTAATCAAACTGCCTTTAAACGGCCATTAAGTCTTGGCTTGCTGCCAGACATTTTTAAATCTCTTAACTCCTTAGCACTTTGTAATACAGAAAATGGAAATATTTTCATGCTTTTCTTCCTACGATCGCAAATACGTTGGTGATTTTGAAGGAGGACGAGTCGCCTGTGAATGATTGCTTATTCTTTGATGCATATGTACGTGGTGGAGCTGTTTTCCTTCTCCATCAACAGGTAACCTTACATAAGAAGGGCAGCACAGTGGCTAAATGATTAGCACGTCTGCCTGACAGTACTGGGGTCGTTGGTTCAAATCCCAACCACAGCACCACCTGCCTAGAGTTTTGCTTGTCCTCCCTGTGCCTGTGTGGGTTTCCTCTAGGTACTCTGGTTTCCTCCCACCCTCCAAAGACATGCTGGTAAGTTAATTTGATCCTGTCTAAATTGGCCCTAGTATATGTATGTATGAGTGTAAGTTAGGGACCTTAGATTGTACACCCCTTAAAGGCTAGGTGCAGCTGCAGATCCACACAAACATCCATGCAGCCACACCACCCACACAGAGGAATGCGGACCCACGGGCAGGTACCATTAGGTCTAATAGCACACTGCCCGCACTGGAAAACACAACCGCACTTGGAACCGAGGTTCCCGTGTGGGCTGTATTTTCAGGAGAAGTGCAGGGACTTCTTCCCTGCGTGTCACGGGAGTCCATTCAAATGAATGGCCTCTCGTGCCTGCGCAAAACATGGCCTGCACAGCCGCATATATGTGAACCAGGGGTGAGGGTTAGAGACTGATGTGAATGTGCCATATATATATGTAAAGCACTGCGTAAATTGACGGTGTTATATAAGTACTTATAATAAATAAGAGAGTAATTGGGGTCTCAGAAATATTATATTATGTACAGTATTGCCATAAAAATAATTTACTACGACAACCCAGGGCTAAACTACACTGGCGATTTTAATCTTTTGGTACTAATCAATATAATCGCTTATTGGCAAAGGCATCATTAGTAGCACATTGATTTGTGTAGGCTGCAAATCAAATGACAGCCAAATAGTTTGAAAAATGCTGGTAGCAGATTGTGTTTATAGAGGGAGAGAGACTACACAACAGCTATATAGACAGAACGGTTACTTTCAGTGGCAGACTCGGTAAGCAGGACAGAGACACTGCTAAGACAGAATGAAGTTTTAGGACAGCAAATAAAATCATTAGCTAGACTTCAAGTGACAATAAAGTCTGGTTTAAAAATATATATTCTATTCAAGTATGTATTCCTAACTCAGAAATGTACCTTCTATTGATCTCAGCTTTCTCCGTAACACAAAATTCCTTTTATTGCTGCTGCTGTGATGTGGCTTCCTGTTAGAGGTTGGAATGTTCATTCTCCATGGTCCCACTGGAAGTGAAAACATAGCTTTTCTCTCTTTCTCACTCCTTAGATGGACTAGGGATCATGGACTATGGGATGTGTAGTGTTCATACAGCAGTGTACATGACCGCAATTGACATGCATTGCTTGTTTCAAACAAACAGAAGCAGAGATGGAAAGGAAAAGTTTGGGAGCTCAGCAAGGACTTTACGAGGAGGCAGAAAAAACTGAAATGAGGTAATGAAAAATAGATTACAGGACCATTAAAGCAGTATTAAACTCTAAAGGAAACATTCATTATATTGCAGCTTACCAAACCTTAGATGTGATGGCTGTATTAGTTTCCATGTTCAGGCTTTCTTGATGATCCAGTCAGCAAGTCTGTTGTTTTTCAACAGAAAAGCTCTCTTGAAGTTAAAAGGATGAGACCATTTAACACTGGCAGGGGTGCTTAAAATGATCAGCTTTTATTTATTTATGTTAAATGTTTATCCCAAATTGGAAAACAATGTTTACTATAACTTATTATTATTATACAGGATTTATATAGCGCCAACTGTTTGCTCAGTGCTTTACAATATAAAGGGAGACAATACAGTTCAATACAAGAGGGTAAGGAGGGCCCTGCTCCTTGGAGCTTACAATCTAAGAAATTATAAAATAATATCTGGAGTTTACCTTGAATTTGTTACTGTATTTAAATCTGCTAGTTCTTATAACTCTCTTCTCCCTCCAGACTGACAATGTTGGTTTCTAAATCTGCCCCTGTGCTCATTCATCCAGAGTGGGGCCAGACTAATACAAGAGGTGTTTTACTGGCCAGGTCACCAGGCAAAAACAGAGAGGAAAAAAGCCTTAAAAAGAAAACTAAAGCAGCCACCACATCTGATTGGTAAGCTGCAATATAATACATTTTTGGTTTTAGGTTTAATACTGCTTTAAGTAGTAGATGTGTAAGGATTATTTTTGAAAAATAAGGATATGGTTTAGCGTCACTTTAAGCTAACAGTTTACAAGGTAATTTGTCTTTTGGGCAATAAAGATGCTAGTAACCTGAAAAACAAAGGTTTTCAGTAATCATGCATCTGAATTTAAACTATAATAGAAATATGTTTAGCATAAATAGCATAATTGTTCGGTTAACAGCACTTGAAATGTCTTCTAAGAACAAAAAAAATCTGTCTGCTCCTACTTGTACTTGTCATAGTAAAATGCAGTACATAGCAGGGAGAAAGGGGTCTGAAACAACAAATAGGAATAGTCACCATTATTTCTAATGACAGCCAGGGGCGGACTGACAACTCATGGGGCCCCCGAGCAATAGGGGATCATGGGGCCCCTGTGTCCTTGCCCAAACTCAAAAAAGCCTATGAAAAAGGTACCAGGGGCATCTCATGGGGCCCTCCACTGACCCTGGGCCCTCGGGCAGTGCCCGAGTTTCCAAATGGTCATTCTGCCCCTGAGGACAGCCCAACATTCCCTGCCCTCACAAACTGTATCCCAGTTCCTGGGTGTGTATAATAGCATAAAAAAGAGGGAAAGAAACAACTACAGAGCACTCCTATTTTATTTTATGCACACTCAAAAGCTGAAAGACAATATAAAATATCAAGCGGTTAGTAGCACAACCACTGGGGGAGGTCAGGCAACCTCTTATCTTAAAGTGTTACTAAACCCATGACCCTGCATTCACAATGTCTGGTCTCCCACAGTACACAGAACATGGAAATGCAATTATTTTAGTAAATATAAACTGCTAAATACCTTTTCTAATCAGAAGAATATAGCAGTCTTGTGATTTTTATCAGTGTCCAGCAAAGCACTGATTAAAGCTTGTAGGAGGAGTTTTCATTCTCCTCTCACTGCCCTATGAGATTGCACAACCCTGACCCTCTGTCTGGACAGCGCTGATTAGCCCTGTGCTGATCACATGCACTCTCCCAAGAAAAAAAATCTCTAGCAATACACACCAAACCCTCTGTCTGGACAGCGCTGATTAGCCCTGTGCTGATCACATGCACTCTCCCAAGAAAAAAAATCTCTAGCAATAAACCAAACCCTCTGTCTGGACAGCGCATTAGCCCTGTGCTGATCACATGCACTCTCCCAAGAAAAAAAATCTCTAGCAATACACACCAAACTGAGCATGTGCAGCTTGCCCCCAAGGCTCTGTTCTCTCAGAAGATGAGTTAGAGACAGTGGAAGGGGATAATCAGAAAAAACAGGATTAAACATCCTTTTTACACAATGCAGAGGATTAACCCCTTAGGTTCCACAGTGAGTATAACAAGCATGCTTTACTGCATATACAGATTGATTTTAGTGTTGTGGGTTTAGTAACACTTTGAGATTTAGAGACAAGCAGGGTCCCTGCAGCACTGTAACCAAACCAGCCCCTTACAGCTGCTCTGTAAGCTGCGACCGGCTATGGTTTCTAAACATACAATACAAGGTTAATGACCCTTTTACGTCATAATGCAAAGGCTCCACCCCTAGACTGGAGCTTCTGGTGGAAGAGGAAAGTGTCAGAGTCAGCTGGAATGGGGAGACAGGTAAGTAATAGAGGCTTTTCAACTCTCTCCTAGGCATGATGA